TGGGGTCCCAGTGGGATTTGGGGTCGGATTTGGGGTCCCAATGGGATTTGGGGTCAGATTTGGGGTCCCATTGGGATTTGGGGTTGGATTTGGGGTCCCATTGGGATTTGGGGTCCCGGCGGGGTCGGGGGTCGGATTTGGGGTCCCGGCGGGGTCGGGGGTCGCGCCCCGCGGCGCCGCGGGCCCCGGTGACGAAGGCGCCGAAGATGCCGATGCAGGAGATGCCGTGGGGGTGCGCCGGGAGGATGTAGCTGCGCCCGGGGGGCAGGGGACACTCCCGGATCACCTGGGGACATTTGGGGACATTTGGGACATTTGGGACATTTGGGACATTTGGGGACAGTGATGGGATTGGGGACATTGGGGACACTGATGGGATTTGGGGACATTTGGGGACAGTTATGGGATTGGGGACACTGATGGGATTTAGGACATTTGGGGGATTTGGGGGCATTTGGGGGATTTGGGGACATTTGGGGACACTGATGGGATTGGGGACGTTTGGGACACTGATGGGATTTGGGGGATTTGGGGACATTTGGGGGATTTGGGATCAATGGGGACAGCGGGGACATTTGGGGACATTTAAGGGTTGGGGACATTTGGGGACATTGATGGGATTTGGGACATTTGAGACACTGATGGGATTGGGGACACTGATGGGATTTGGGGGATTTGGGGACATTTGGGATCAATGGGGACAGCAGGGACACTTGGGGACATTTAAGGGACTGGGGACCCTTGGGGACATTGATGGCATTGGGGACATTGGGCACATCGATGACATTGGGGACATTTGGTGACATCAGTGACACTGGGGACATTATGGGGATTGGGGGACATTTGGGGACATTTGGGGGATTTGGGTTCAATGGGGTCATTGGGGACACGGGTGACACGGGTGACATTTGGTGACACGGGTGACATTTGGTGACACGGGTGACACGGGTGACGCCGTTACCGTGATGGGGAAATAGTCACAGAAATGGTCCCAGATCCGCCAGTTCCGCAGCCAGTCCCAGTGACGGGGCCCTGGGACAGCGAGGGGACAGCGGGGACATTGGGGACATTGGGGACAGCGGGGACATCGGTGACATTGGGGACAGCGGGGACATTGGGAGATTGGGGACATTGGGGACAGAGAGGACAGTGGGGACAGAGGGGACATTGGGGACATTGGGGACAGTGAGGACAGTGGGAGATTGGGGACAGTGGGGACATTGGGGACAGCGGGGAGACCACAATGTCCCAATGTCCCAAATCCCCCCAATTCCCCCCCTGTCCCCAGTGTCCCCACTGTCCCAGTGTCCCCAGTCTCTGTCCCGCTGTCCCCGTGTCCCCAATCCCACCACTGTCCCCATGTCCCCAGTGTCCCACTATCCCCACTGTCCCTCTGTCCCTCTGTCCCTCTGTCCCCCCTGTCCCGCTGTCCCCAGTCTCTGTCCCGCTGTCCCCCCTGTCCCCACTGTCCCTCTGTCCCTCTGTCCCTCTGTCCC